ATTTAACCTTATTAACCAACTTATAATCATTATTAGAAAGACACTACAATTTATCACTTTTAACTATTTATCAAATATTTTTTAGGTTCTTTAAGTTAAACTAAAATTTATATTTAAGTTGATCATGTAATGTTATATTTAAATTAATAATTTAAGTATTTTATACAAATTGTTCCAAAACTGTATCTTTAAAATGATAATGGTTTACATCCAACAATATATTAAAACCAATAAATTAAGTATAATATGTTAAAAGTTAAAAAACATAACTTTATAAGTAGAAGTAAAAATATTATTTTAATATTGAAATTTGTTTATATATGATTGCACTTTAGGGTTGATATTTATTTAACCTTATTAACCAACTTATAATTTTTATTAGAAAGAAATTGAAAAGTAATGAGAGTTTCAAATGAATATGGTGAAAGGAAAAATGCATGAGAGTTTCAAATGAATGTGAAAGGAAAAACGATTCCTTTATTATACAGTATGATACTAGGTGTAAGACCCATGTATTACATGAGTTTATTTAAAAGAAAAACTAAATACAAAATTCTAAACATTTGACAAGTTTGAATTTAAAAGAAAAGTGAGAAAATATTGAATTAATAAAATTAAAATGTTTTTTTTTCTCTTTTAAATTTAAACAAATAATTTAGATAAATAAATAAAGAAAATTACGGAATCTTTAATTTAGTAATTTTGAAATTAGAAGGAAAGTTCATCAATAAAATTGATATGCATTTATTATTGCATTTTAATACTATTTGGAATTTAAGAAAAGGAAAAAAAAACCATAAAATGACATGTGGAATAAAAATTAATTTAAAATAACCACAAAATTACATGTGGCAAAATAAATAAGAATGTGACATATGATAAAAAGATCTTTATTTATTAGGGAGGATGATATGATGATATGAACTTACCTTATATATAAGATAATAATACAAATATAAAAATGACATAATCATTTAATAAAAAAACTATATTTTTTTTGTGTCAAATGCAAAATTGTGTTTTGAATGGTCTTTAATATAAAAACTTCTAAAAACATTTTTTTAATATAAGATGTAAAATTGACATTCATATATAACTATGTAGACTCATAAATTGCTAAATGTAAAATTTCTAAGGTTTTTTGTGAACATCAATATGATGTGTTGTATTTCAAACTTAACAATCAAACAATCTGATAATTACTATTGTAAACTAATATCAAAATGTTATCAATATCAAAACCAAACGAATAGATAATTAATATTAATGATTAATTATTTAATTGTTAAGCAAATAATCCAACAAATATTATTATCGAATCGTTGCAATATTAAATCCCATTATTATTATTGTAATTACCAAGTTTTGTCTAGAAATCACATTGATCATTCGTGATCAAACTTGTTATAAGAAAAGTAGAAGGAGATTGTCATGTTATCATTCAAATTAAAACACATGATAGTTAAACTATAACCAACCTGAAGATCATAGATTTTTTACTAGTAACCCCATTACAGAAATTCAATCCTTAAAGGTTTTTCGGTACTTTGTAGCTATAAGTTGTAGTGTAAAACAATAGAATTTTGTAATGCCTGGTTCCTGGTATGCATTTAACCTATTTATTTATTCAATTTAAGAGAGGGACTCGACGAGTTGGTGGCCCTAACTCGTCGAGTAGAAGATAGATTATGCGCGGGGTTTAAGCTATCTACTCGACGAGTCAAGAGCCCTCGACTCGGCGAGTAGATTGGCCAGAATGAAACCCTAATTTTAGGGTTTTGCACCATATTTAAGCATCTTAATCCCCACCCCTTAGCCTTATTTAGAGCCTCCTTGTCCCAAACCCTAATCCACGAAACCCTAGAGCTTTCCTTGAGTGTGTGAGCCATTTTGAGTGATCTTTGTGCACTTTTGAAGCTTGTGGAAGAAGAAGAAGATAAAGGGCTTAAAAGGGAAGGAACAGATCCAGAAGCTACACTCCATTTGCTACATTTTCTGGTAATCAAGTCTCTAACTTGATCATTCTTTTCTTAGATCTAT